AATCTGTATATTGAAATGTTAGACGCAGCTTGCTAGACTCACATAACTGAGTAATGTCATCTGTGGCTTTCAGGTTTCTCTGGGTGTTTAGTTCTGTCAGTTTGGTCATACATTGTGTAAACTAAATGATTCAAAAGTATGATTACCTTCTTTATTATTAAAAAAAAAATGCTAACTCAAAGTGAACATTATTTATCTACTTGAAACTTGAAAGTATAAGGATAGGATTTCCCATAAAGGCATCTTCATTTTTTTTTTATTTTCCAGTATAATGTATCATTAATTCGTTATTTTTAATTCCTTCTAAGTTAGGTCAATGGTGGGCAAGAGTATGCGGTTGCAATCTCTGCCATTAATCTATTAGGTAGGACATCATCAAAGAACTAATGGCAGAATTTCTGCCTTCAACTGCACCAAGTTTGTAATAAGTAATAATTTTGCCTGAGATATGAGCAAAGTATTTTACTAAAACAGGAAAATTCATTAGCCTAAAAAACTATTTCACAATCTCATTACCAATATAATGAAATTCTAGACGACCCATGTGGATCCTTTTAAAAAATTTGAGGGAAAATTTAACAAATACATTTTTACATTATAACAATGAAAAAATCGATTTCTTAAATTCAGCAAATTTTACCAATCACAACAGAGACCCACTTTCATATTAATTTTCTCTACTATCAATCGTTCAATTATTTTATTTATATATACTAGTATGTCGACAGGCCGACCCATATTCTATGGTGTTATGTATTTAATTTTTATATATTTCATTTTAGTGAATTATAATGTTTTTTTGTGTTCAGTATAGTTTATATTATAGTATTTTTGTCTTTACTATAATTTTCAATTTAAGTTAAGGAGGATAGTTATCTATGATTATATGATTTTTTTTGTAGAAATAAAATAATGCTAAGGGTAAAATAGGGAAATGAAAATTAAAGTACATTATTTTCAGCAATAATATTTCTTCATCCCAGGAATAAAAAATTAATCATTTTTAAGTTCAATTACCACTTCAAACAAACGTACATGAATTGAAAACCCAATTTTTGTATCAGATTATGAGTATATTTTGTACCAATCACTTAAAGACGGGCCAAGTTCAATAATAGTATTGGGCTAAGACGGGTATTCCGACCCATTTACAATGTCTAAACAATACCTTATTTTGTGCATGATGATTCATTCATGAATTTCTCTTACTCAAGTATTTGTGAAGTGATGAAGTTGAGTCAATTGTGATGGCTACTCGTTCATTCTTCAAAAAATGGAGGTTCCCTCATTTGGTTTCGCCATTTCTTAATCAGCTATCAAAAACTCCTAATCCCATCAAACAATCTTCATCAACTAGTGCCGTTGCAGTGTTCCAATCCAAAACGGTGTCGTGGGGTTTCAGGGAATACCACGATGGAAGACCTAGAGGGCCACTTTGGAAGGGAAAGAAGCTTATTGGGAAAGAAGCGTTGTTTGTGATATTGGGGTTGAAGAGGTTTAAGGATGATGAAGACAAGCTTCAGAAGTTCATCAAAAATCATGTCTTGAGGCTTTTGAAGATGGACATGTTTGCTGTTCTCTCTGAACTTGAGCGCCAAGAGGAAGTTTCTCTCGCTCTCATGGTAACACTCTCCTATTTCTTCCACTTACTCTTTCATGTTAATTAGTTGCCTGTAACCTGTTTGTTATAATGCTTCTGAGATATTTTGGAAATGAACTTTGATAGACTCTTTAAGAATTTCGGTCTTTTTTAAAACCTATATTTTTCAGCTTCTCAAAAAATCGCTTTTGTCAAAATCCCTTTTGTAGAATTACTTGTTCTCAAGGATAAACCATACTTACCTGATAGACGATACATGTTTGTGGTTCACTTTGGTACGCTGTTTTCACTTTTTATATTAATTTTATGAGACATTCTTTATGACGAACTCTATACAGGGTACACAGTGCTGTGACTTCACTATGTAAGATAAATGAGAGAATCATACTCCAACAATGGCCCATCACCCTTTATATAACCTAGTGTTAGAGATAGAGAGTGGCCTTTCTGCCTGCAAATTGTAGATACATGCGTAGGTTTTGAATTTTGATTGTAGCGAGATAACAGTAGATTAGCAGCTTAGACTCTGACTCTGCAAGTATTTTTTACTTGCAGTTTAGCCATTAAATTTAATTATGCACATGGGTTAGTTCCTGAATATACATTTCCTGCATAAAATCAATATTTTTTAGGGACTAAGGTGAGAAATGAAAAAAATAATAGTTGATACAGTTTTATAAACTCAGTGGGACCTACTCACATGCATAATTAAATTTGGTCACTAACAAGGCAATTGCAAAGAATTTGTTACTAATTAGTCATGGTGACTATGTTATCTATACTCCCAAGATTGATTGGGCTTAAAACTTAAAAGTAACTTGATGAATTTTCAGATATTTAAGGTGATGCAAAAACAAGATTGGTACAAGCCGGATGTATTTCTTTATAAGGACTTGATTATTGCATTGGCAAGGGCTAAAAAAATGGAGGAGGTGATGCAATTGTGGGAAAGCATCAGAAAGGAAAATATATTCCCTGATTCTCAGACATATACTGAAGTCATAAGGGGCTTCTTGAAGTATGGATCTCCTGCGGATGCAATGAACGTATACGAGGACATGAAGAATTCTCCAGATCCACCGGATGAGTTGCCATTCAGAATTTTGTTGAAAGGGCTCCTTCCACATCCTCTTTTAAGAAACAAAGTGAAACAAGATTTCGAGGAGCTCTTTCCTGATTCAAATATCTTTGATCCACCACAAGAGATATTTGGCGTACGCTGAGGTTGGAACCCCTCACTCTATTATCACGTGTTCAAAATTTTGCTTTTAAATATATTGTGTTGTTTTCTCTTCAGACTTCTGAACATATTTATGTTCAAACTTCAAAGTAAAGTGGTTATGAGTCTGATTCAATAGGGCTTAAGTTGGTTAAATCAGATAGCCATTTTCTCTGTCAAAAAGATGAAAAGATAGTCAAGTTTGGTACCACGAAGGTTGGGTTATTGAAAGAGAAATATAGGCTAAAGTCAACAGTTGGATTAATGCTGTAGGTTTAAGATGTGAAACTTATTGTTTTTGTTTTTCGAAAATAGAAGTATGATAATGTCGTTCAAGACATGAAGTTGAATTTCGTAGGCATGTATTCTTGTCATATTGGAGTCAAGCTTATCATTCCCCCACCTTTTGTTGTCTAAAATCTCCACATCATATCACCAAATACCACCTTTAAGTATGGAACTAGCTTTGTTAAAGACAAATGGCTTCACTTATTAGTTTGTATGTCTGGGAAAAACAGTTACCATACGGATTCTGCATAGTTTTCCTCTTTATCTGATCTATTAAATTACCAAGTTAAATATCAAGGCAGTAATAAAAATTGTATCATCCACATGTGTATATGTAGTTCATGAGCGCCATGATGCATTCTGGTATGAGCGCCATGATGCATTCTGGTATGTGTATATGTAGTTCATGAGCGCCATGGTCATCATTTCTTGTTGAGCTTGGAGTTCAATACCTGCTTCTCTTCTGGTTAGTCACTATAGTAGGTGGAGGGTTTACATTTACTTGTTTCCATTTGGTGTTGAAACTGATTGAGCTTCACCCTGATCTTAATGTTCTTTTTCAGTTTCTTCTTCCATATCAGAATTGTACACATTATTCTCAAGGGAAAATAAATTCATTAGTATTTGTGCCCAACAAACTATTGCCTTTCTTAAAAGCTGTAGAATGGTGTAGTTATATGGCAACCTAATGAATCAAGTATAATGAAACTAGTAACTTAAAATGAAGAAAGAAAACCTAATGAATCAAGTATAATGAAATATAATAAGATATTCTACCGCCTCAGCACTAGAAGATCTTTCAATTTGATAATCTACTACGAGCCACATATCTCCTACTAAACACAAACACAGCATGAGAACAATTTTCAGTGGCTGCTACCGCAGGCTTTCTATGATCATAATATTCATTAAAATATGTATCAAAAATATTTTACACATGATAAAAGTTGAATATCTTACATTAAAAATAAATAAATTGAACTTTATACTTTTCTATTAGCTGAGTTGGACCATGTCTCTCCATTAAGCCATCCTTGATTTCTTAATTGTTGATATTGACCAACATAGTTGATCTTGAGTCATTATTAAACGTAACTTTTTTAATAATTAAGTGAACATTAACAACCTTTTAACGAGTAAAGGCATAGAGCACAAGAAAAATAAAAACAAGTAGAGCAGTTGGAACAAGAATAAGCAAGGGAGCTATGGCAAGATAAGTATAATGACTCCCACAACCCAAAGTTCCCAACTTGATCTGTACCAAATCCACCAGCGCCATCACCAAAAACCCACATCCAAAAACTGACCCAATACCTGAAACCAGAGTCCCCACTCTCAAAGCCACCGTGTTAACTCTCACCACAAAGCCAACACCGTGAACACGACTGCCAATGGCCCCAGCTTCTTGTTCAATACCCTTGTTCATGTTGATGATGTTCTTGAGAGACAAGGCAATGAGGCTGGAGAAGAGGAATGAGCTGAAGGAGTATACATGATAAGTGAGGATGCCTTCAGCGACGGAGGGTCCGGCAGCGCAGGAGGTATCTCCGGCGATGAGGGGGTTGTTTGTGTTGGTGGTTGTGATGCCGAGAAAGAGTGCTAAGGTGAAGAGTGAGTTTACGTTGACGATGCCGTCTAAGGCCATTATGTGAATGCTGGTGGTGGTTACTGTCCGGCGTGACACGTCAGACATTTTTGATAATAAAACCATAGTGGTTGAACCAATACAATCTAACGTGATTTTGTTGAGTATTTCCAATTGGCTTTGCTTGGAAGCAACAATATGTGTGTCATAAAAGTGGCGTGCGTACAAGGTTACATTTGGAACCCTGCTCAACTTGTTTGTTCCTCAAAATCAAAATGACAGTGACGAAAATTTGAATAAAAATGAAGTAATACGCCGTTGCCGGGGATCGAACCCGGGTCACCCGCGTGACAGGCGGGAATACTTACCACTATACTACAACGACATTTATGGTATTTAAGATATTGTTACAGTATATGAATATTCAGAATATGTGCTCAGCAAATGCTACATGTATGCTACAACCCCTTTGCTGTTTTTCAAGTATGTATTGAATCTTAGTGTCCATCCCAAATAATGATGATATTTGGCTGGCCGTAACTGTTTCGAAAGATGTTATATTCTTTTTCCCGGACCAAACAAAATGTTTTTTTATTTATGTGGTAATATGTGATTGGACAAGGAATGTGACACAGTTTGGGATAGATGATCTCTCTCCCACATTAACTAGTTAACTGATCTGGTGAAGGGTGAACATTGTCTGAAGTGTTGAGATTGCAAACTCACTGTAAATTTTGCAGCATGAGCAGGTAATCGAATAAACAAAACCAACTGCATGTTAAAAGAAGTGAGGTACATCTCCATGTTCCAACAAAAATAAAATAAAGTAGACAAATTTTTGCATACAGAGAAAATTTTCAATTGTCCTTTATAGAGGATAAGTTTGACTAGATAAAATAAAGTAGACAAATTTTTGTTATTAAAAGTGGGAGCACTAATGTGCATGATTCCGAACTAAGCCAATACAAATGCCAAACATGATTTAATGAAACACTTTCTACATCCACAATTTGATTCTAGACACCAACATGGCACAAAACTATGAGACTAAATCTTCTGTACTTGTTAAACTATTGCAAATGTAATAATAATAATAAATTAATAAGCTACCCTTAAAGTTGAAGTGGATTGATGTTGCTATTATTATTATTGTAATTTTCAGCTGAAGTAGTTCGCATATAATGCTGTGGTTGCAACTTCAACTGAACCCAACAGAAGGCAGGTGAGATGCACAACCACAACTACTTGAATATACGAACCAACTAATAAAGCCATGATTATACTAAATTACTACTACTTCCCCCAATAACAACTGCATTTAGGGTTTAAGGCCATGTCTGTTTGGTATCTAAGTTAATTTGCCTCAAATAATCAAACTCCTTAAAGGTCATATTTTTTGCTCTTAAAAATCCCCCCACCTTTACCTATATGATCGTAATCATTATTAATTATCAGCATATGAAAGCATAACTACTTCCCTTTATAATGGCAGTTGACCTACAAACTAGGGACATGTTGCTTCCTTATCTTTACATCCTTGAAAAACAGGCTCAGCAATCAGCATACACTCCCACTATCATCACAATACAATACAATACCACACTAACTCCAACATCCACGACATATAATCTTCACTCACCTTTAAACTTACATGTGCTAATTCCTCACTATCTTGCTCACTTCATCACATGTCTCACTTCATGCACCTTCAAGATCAAAACCATGGCAAATTCCATATCTCTCGCAACTTGGAACCGGTACTAGTACTATTTTAGTTTGTTATTCTATTCTATTCTCCTATCCTATCATTATATTGTACTATACTTTCTTGCACTTATGTTCTGTTTCTGTCTCCTCCTGAGAAGTCAATCGGTTCGCATCAATCAACTATGCGATCACGTTTGGGCTTAGACCAGGGGAGCCTTAAAGGGTCGCTTGATAGCACCAACAGCATGGTTGGAATGTTTGAGAAGATGAAACTTCAGGAAAGCAGTTATGGCAATACCTTCTCCAATGTTGTACCCTCTACATATCATCAATCTTTTAGTCAAGATCAAATTCAAGTAAGAAAACATTAAAGTTAACACATGCATTTTTTATGTTTATATTGGTTTGATGGTTTCCATTTTTGTGTGTTTTATAGTTGTCTCGGCTGAAGCAAGAGCAGTTTCTATCTCGGAAGCAAAAACTGGTTGCATATAGAGAAAGCCATGACAGAATACCACACCAATACGAACCAAATGAAGAGATTATGCAGTTTCAGAAGAAAGGGAAAGGGGTTGTTGTTAAGTCTGGTAATAGTGGACAGCAAAGGAATCGCCCAATTCGACCGGCGCCTACGTTTCACAAAACCGTTTCTGAGAAGCAGGCGCTTTTCCTTGATGGGTCCGCTTCAAGAGCCACATCTTGTGGGACTGGTGTTTTCTTGCCACGTGGTGGAACCGGTGTCCCCTCTAACAGACCAGGTAATGAAACCATTACCAAGTCATTGGTCTGGTTCAATCCCTTTAGTATGTACTTTTATATTACAAACTAAAAATTATTGCATTAGACAATGAGACGTATAATAACACTATTGTTTCTATTATCTGATAGATAATTTTGATACTTGTATGTTAATTTATTTTGACCAAGAAAAGGATCAATTTTACAGATTCTTCATTTGTACCGAATCCTTGCTGAATGCATAAATCATCCTTATGTTTTACTTGTTTGTGATTTAATTGGTTAGGTAAAGGTTGCTCCACTGTTCTTATACCAGCTAGAGTAGTGCAGGCTTTGCAACTCCACTTTGATCAAATGGCAGCCACGCCTGGACCTAAAGTTGTAGGCTACCCTCCTCTCCACGGTACCTAATTATCCAACAACCACTTTTCTTTGGGGCAAACACAGTTAGCTAGATTAGGCTTTAAACTAAAGCATTTTACTAAATTCCATATAAAATAAACTTACGTAATATTACTTAGATCAAATTAGAGATGTTTTCTGTAAGATTAGTAGGAGAAAGTTTGGATGGGGATAACTAAACTTTGTTTTCATTATTGTATCTTACTTAGATTGCAAGTCAATTAAGATGTAACAGCTATTGACTGGGAAATTGGAATATCTATGTTATTCATTTGCAGATGTTATAGTGAGCAATAGGGATGGCATGTATTCACTACAGAGTCGCCAATCAGTGAAAGCAAAGAATCAGAACGAGATGACTCTGCCTCAAGAGTGGACCTATTAAAGCCAAATACTACTCACAACTATTTCCCTTCCTTATATTTACACACTGGTCATGGTATTAATGATGCTGTTTCGGCAAAGCCGAGAAGAGAATGGTAGAAGAAGAAAAGGATAAAATGAACTCTGTAGTCCCCTACTACATATTTGATCAATATATGAGGGAATCCTTTTACATTGACTGCAGGGCGAAAAGCTATCAATACTATGGCCATTGTATTATGCTTCTCCCTAATTTCAATAGCTCTTATGAATAAATATGAACAGTAATTAGATGGTATTCATCTACCAAACTCTCTAGCTATCAGTAATCATCATTAAAGCAGCTATAGTACATAATTCATATTCAATGTCTCATCTATCACTAGTATTATACTCATAAAAGATTACAAATTATAGTTTGTAATTCTTCTTATTAACATAAGAAACTAATTAAAACACCTAATCTGATTAACAATTCATAGGCGGAAGATCAAAACCCTTAATGTATTCCTTTTTATTAAAAGCACCGCTGCGAAAGATAAAGAACCCCAAAGCATGACCCACCACAGCAACCAAGAACACTCCACCGTTAAAAGACATGAGCGCTAGCATCACCAAGAAAGATAGACCAACCCTCAGAAGGTGTATAACTGTCTGAACCAGACCGGCCGCAAAACGGTTCGAATCGGGTTTGACAAACCATGCGCTAGAGAGAAATTCAACTAGGAAGGACATGACAAAGACGAACAACAAGGCTAATACATACATACCAGTTTTATCACCAGGCCACTGATTGAAAAGAATTTCTGAATCCTTCCCCCAGAAGAAGGTCATGTGCATGAAATGCTTCTTCATATGTGGCATGTCCATGTTCCCATTCATGGATGGCTCCATCCCATGCATTCCCCCCATATCATGATGCATGTGCCCATCCATCAACAATTATTGGTGTTTTTGCTAAGCGTTAATACACCCTTGGGTTTTTGCAGTGAAATAAATGGAGATATTGTACTATGAAAATGTGTATGATATTGTACTAATGAATATGTGTATTTGGGATATTGAACTGTAATAATATTGCAATTAAGATGATGCATTTATGGAATTAGCTGATGTATGCGGTGAAAGCATAGTGGCCACAGATTCAGGATATAGTTGTGTACTGTGCGACTTAGTCCACACACAACTAATGCCAATATCGGTGCGAATCTCACGCCTTTCCTTATCTGTTGTGCTCATACGCTTAATTTTGGTAACAAAATCATATCAATAAATTAATAGTTTAATATGTATCCACAAATTTATATCTATTTTCTCATAAAATTAATTATTGATACAATTTATTTATTTAAGGATGTAACAATACATCAATTATAATGATGATATATTCTGTTATATTATATTTTAGGGCCGATAAATCCTCCAATCAGTATTACACCGCAGATGGTTTTCAAAGCAATATGGTTTTACAGTAAGTCATTACAGTCAGCAAAGAGGAGGCACTGACTTTTCTTTAACGCTATAGGAAATGTGTAATACTTCAACCCAAAATGACAAACTAATTTTTCTTTAGGTTTTTTTTTGACAAACTTCAGATAGAACAACAAAGTAGGAAGTATCTAATACATAATTCAACTCCCATATAATTTGGTGGATGAGGTAAAAACAAGTTATACAACTATATTGTTTGTGCTACTATATTTTACAACTAATTTCTTTCTTTTGATATTGTAGAATAAAGGTCCCACAATTTCATTTCATCCTCGTTAACATTTTTTGTACAAAAATTCCTTAGATCAACACATTATTCAATTTATAGTTGTAGATTTGAAATTGTAGGAATTGAGTGAAGAACTCATTTGAAAAAAATGTGGGTTTACAAGTTTTATTCACTACGTGTCTAAAAAAGATTTACATTCCTTGTCAAACTCTTGATTTGTTTCCATGATATATTTTTAAAGGAAACATTCTTACATTATCATTATTCCCAAATAAGGGAGAGGTATTCCAAAGTTACCCCTTTTATTCCCCTCCAAAATTATAGTCCCAAGGATATATTGATGTTATTATTTTTTGAGGCAAAAGTGAATAGACAAAAAAAAGAAAAGACAATTTATCTTATTCATTAGGTCACATATTAAACACAAATACTAGCATAAATCACTTCTGAAACTAAATTTTGAACTTAGTTAAA